TTTTGCAAAAGGTAAAGCATGGATCTGAAGATAATGCAGAAAAATGCTCAGAGGATAAGGATAACTTGCCAAAAAGAAAATGCTCTCAGTTAGTTAATAGTGTTTTTAGTGATGACGAAGAAAACATTGTTTAATTTATATTAATATGTACCACTTAAAAAAATTTTAATGAAGATATTTATCTTAATTATGAAAATATACTAGCATGTTTTTTTAATTTTTGGAACCTAACCCTCCTTTTCGTATTAGTTCTTTGTTTCGTATAACACGGATTTGCATAACACGGCAATTTTTTGGAATGTAACTACCGTGTTATACGGGGGGTTACCTGTATATATATATATAAAAATATATATATTTCTTTTTTTGTAAATGAAGACATGTTGAATCTTGAATCATTTAGCAAAGCATGTCATTTTCATTTTTTTTAATGGATGATAAACATCCATTAATATTAAATAATAAAATATCAGTCTATTGCATGTATATGTATAGAATGCATACATATACTATGAAGCTGAAGTTAAATATAAACAAAGAAAATTTCTGGAAAAGTAGTAAATGGCAAGTAAACTTCTGGAATAGGGCCAAATTATATATTACTGCATTTCTCACATCTTATCATGTTGAATCTGGATTTAGTGGGGTTAGTCATCTGCTCTCAAAACTTGCAATCATCTTGATGTTGGAATGGAGGCACTCTTCATTTGTTACTGACAACATTGCAACAGGACATTAAAAAAACTTGTTAATTTGCATTAGCAAAAAGGATCACACTAAATAAAGTAAATGTCAATTTATTACATGTTTTATTTTTAAAAATGAATGTGTAAGTACAGTGGGTGATCGGTTAATGAACATAATCCATTCGCTATCTGAATTGTTTGTTAACCGATTATCAATTTACCATAGGTTTTTATGGGAATTTGATTAATTCGTTTTGGAGACTCCAAAAAATATAAAAATATATATGTAGTAATAAAAATACATATACAGTAGAGCATCAATTATCCAACTCAATTGGGGACTCAGGTTGGTCGGATAACCGAAAAGAATGAAAAAAATACATTATTAATATAGTATATTAGTATATCCCATGTAATTAGTGTATGGCTCTTAACCTACTTCGCATTAATTTTCATCAATGTTAAGCATAACAAATTTTTTTTTAAAATAATAATCATTACTATTGTATCGTAAAAAATTATTTTAAAATTATTTTATTGCTCACAAAACAAACAACTACTCATAATTAGAAAATTAAGTCTCGTTTAAATACTGGCCGACCTTTCATGGTCGAGCCAGTGTTGCCAGCTAAAACACACTAATATTATTTTTGTTAAATTTTTAAGTAGCCAAGACATACCCAAATATTGTAGTGCCACATCACTAGTGGACATTTGAAATTTGCCGACTAGAACAGTCGGTTAACCGATGTGACGGTTAATCAGGGGTCAGATAATCAATGCTTTACTATATATGCAGTCTTGCATTTTTATTAGTCATGTTTTTCCCGTTTGTGGTTGTTAAAGAATCTGTCTAATGTCAATTGCTTTTTTCTCTTCAGAATTTTTCAAAAGTAATTAATTGCATTGTAATTGTAGAGATCCCTAAGCCTATTAACCTCAACCTAGTTTGGGTATGATTCTAAGACTGTTGTTCTGACATTCTCCCACTTCTTCAAAAAGATGTTCAATAGTAGATATCGGCATTAATCCTCTTTTTCAGAAGAAAGCATATCTCGCAGAGTTTCTTGTTGTTCTTCATTCAAGAGTTCTTGGTGTTCTTCTGTCGTCGGATCCATTTGAGATTCCATTATGAGCTCTTCAATATTCTTTGTTTCTCAGATGTGATTTTTGTTACTCCTTAAGCTGCTTGAGTCTTCTTGATTATACAGTATCTTTCTTAGATAAGATTGAACTGTGGCCTACTGTAGACCTGTTCAAGCCATACTGCCCAGCGACATCAGATATCTGCCCACTCTTTATCTTTGCTATTATTCTATCACCTTTCGAAAATAAAAACCCACTCTCATAAATACTATAAAAAAATTGTTTGTCAGAAAAATAAAAGGCTGGAATTACAAGGGAGAGTTTCAAAGTTTGGAGGAATACTATCCGTACAGTATATACTGGGTTGAGTGTTGACGTCGACATCTCCCGCGCTCCAAAAAGTTTTGAATTGTTGCCTGAAGACAAGAAAAGACAATCAGCATTCATTATTTTACCTCACTACTACTTGTGTTTGTTCTGTGAGGTGTTTGTTGTCCGAACATAAAAATCTTTCATGAAAGTATTCATTATCCGATTTGTTCATTAACTGATCACCCACTGTACATATGTAGTTCATAAGAAATATTCTATAATCATTTTAATTAAAAATTCCACTGCTTTTTTATATATGTATTTTTTAGTTTTTCCTCATGCTACTATTATGGGGACCACAGAAAAGTTAAAGGGATCAATGATCAAAAAAGGTTGAGAAACACTGATTTTAGAGTATATGAAAAATTTGTCGTATTTCTTTATTATTGATAATTTTTAATATTATTTTGCCTGCTTACTAATTACTTATATTCTCATTAATATTATAAACAATCTAAAATAATTAATTTATTAAATTTATAATAACATACTTAATAAAATAGTGTTCTGTTGCAAATCTGCATACTTTTCAAATGAGTAAGTACCATCTGATAATTGAAAATAGTGTTTGGATAGGAGAAAATATCAATGTTTTGTGGGCAATGTATAAATGCAAGAACAATGCAATGAATTTTAAGATAAAATTATAACAATTAATAATTAGAATTGGAATAAATTTTTCAATCATCTAGGATGCTAAGTAAAAAAAAATAATTAGTGCTTGAAAAAACAACTGAAGCCATTAAAATTTGATGCTATGTCAAAATCTCACATGACTTATTTGATACTAGACCACAACCTCTGACTCAATAAGTCTGTATGGTTGAAATTTTTTCAAAATTATGATTCATTTACACATGTTTAGTTTAGTTTAAAATAGCATATTAATTCAGAATATGATTGTACAGAATCAGTTTTTTCTTCTTGTAATTAGACAATTGATAGTCTATTCTACTTTGCAGTTAACAAAAGAAAAGTTCCTATTTTTGTTGAGGATAGGTATTTAGATTATAAAAAAAAAAGCTGTTTTCAATTTTAAAGTTTAAACATTATAATGTTAAGTAATACAAATAGTGTTTACTTAAATTGGGTCATGTTAATTGATTCATCAAAATTATTATTAAAATTTATTTAAGTACATAACTTTCCATTTTAAATCAGTTTAAAATGTTTTGTTTAAAATTTAATATGGCAATATTTAATTATGACAAAATAAATCATGATATTCTAACATAATCTTTGTGTTTCTGAGAATACTTTAATAAACAAATGAAACTTAAGGATTATAAAATTAGATTACTGTATTAATCTCTTCTGTACTCTTCTCAATGATTTGAATTAAGATATTGTAGAGCACATTTTAGAATTACAGGTAACCCCCGTATAACATGGCACTTCTATAGCACGGATTCACTCTAACACGGTTCGAGAATTGGGAACATCCCCCGTATAACACGGTGGTTTTATAGCACGGGTTCACTCTAACGCAGTTTGGGAATTGGGTAAAACCCTAATACAACATGAAATGTAATAAAGGGTGCGTTCTTTTATACTTCCGCGTAACTCCGCACGAGCATTCTAATTGTTTTCGTGGCTACTTTGAATGCTCTTTCAACAATAATCCATTTAATAGTTTAAATTTTACAATTGGGACCCTCCTTTTGCCTCTAAAAGCTCATTTTAGAATTATAGATTCTCCGTCACGATACTATCAATAGTGTAGGTGCCACCATCTTTCTTTCACTGTTGTTTCTAAATGCCTACAAACAGCAGCGCACTCCCATTGCAGAGTGACCGCTATTAATGAACGCACCCAAAAACTGTTACCAGTTGATGATGCTCATGCTGAGATCATCATATAGGATAAATAATCCTCTGGTAAAATATTTACTTAAATAATAAATAAGTATTTTACCTATGAAAAAACTAATAATAAATCCGATTTAAATAAGGATTTAATAGCATGTTTTTTAATTTTTGGAACTTAACTGCCTATTTCGCACTAGTTCTTTGTTTCGTATAACACGGATTCGCATAACCTGGCAATTTTTTGGAACGTAACTCCCATGTTATACGGGGGTAACCTGTAAATATAAAATTTTTGAAATTTCTTCAAAGGTTTTTTCATAAAGCATGCTGTTTGGATTATTGAAAGTATAAAAAAAGATTTTCAAAGGAAACTCAAAAATTAGTAAAATTGGATATAAATATAAACTTTCTGTTTAACAAACTCAAAATCTACAATCAAGGGAATATGAGTTTGAATCTAATCTGGACTCCCACAAATGATCACACATAGTACAAGTTAGTGAGTGTTCCCCATGTTATCTGTGCTAGACAGGTGCAACCCATAGTAGGACTACTACTACTGTTGGTTACTCCTATCTATAATAGATATGATTGTGACTGAACATAAAACCTAAACATGTTGGTGCCTTATGTTAACTAGCCAATCGAAAACTCAGATAAACTGAATCAATGTTACACTGCATCCAGAGTGGATGCTTTTGGTAGTAGATTGCCTAACTTTATTTATGGAAATATAATACTGGTAATGCTTTATGGCAATTCTGAGCAATCAGAAAAGTGAGATTGAAACTTTTTTACAGCTACAACAGTTTTGTGTTTTATTATATAAAGTTAAACAGAAATTTTTTTCCAATTAAAAAATATTTCTCTAGAAATATAAAAGATGCCATTTAATGTAGCAATAACTTAAATTATTTTTTGTAATTTGTAATATGTTAAATTGTTTGAATTAATCTTATTAACAAAATTAATGTCTTGATAATTATTAATTTATATAATATAGTAAAAGAGCTTGTAAAATATGCACTAAAACAATGTATAACAAACTGGCAAATAAAATAATTGCTTAATAACAAATCTGTAAATGTTTTTATTAAACCAACATATATATATTATATAATTATTAATTATTAATTCTCCCCGACTTTAATGTCGAAATGGTTAAAAGAGTTTAATTTAAAATCCGATAGGTACGGGTGCGTGCGGAAAGAGATCCGGACAGGTTAGAACAGGATACCGTTTCTTCTCAAGCTAAAAGGGAGCTGTTAGACTGGCAACTACAGACAACACTGTTCAACCTTCACACTTACACTGATGATCAGGTATGCTGTTTTGCATAAAATTTATCCCTCATTTGGAATACAGACAAAACTAAATTTAAATTGTGCAAAAAGAAAAAAGTTGGCAGTTTTTGTAATGGAATCCCAATTATCCAGATGAGTTAGATATATACAAAAAATTTGTTATATATATGAACATCAGCTCAAACCTTATTTTTTTTTTTTTTTAGTTAAAGTCAAATAAACTGCCAAATTGTCAGGTATAATATGGTTATGTAATTAATTAAATACTAAATTTATCTAGAAGTAGGCAATCTAATTATGGCATCTAACAGAAGATTGCAGCATAACTGCCTACCTGTAAACAAATTATTTAGTATTTAATCAATTACATAGCCATATTATAGCCTGATAATTTGGAAGTTTGTTTGGCTTTATGCTATATAATCAAAAAATAAACCAACCACACTCAAAGTACATATGTTATATTTTATAAACTGTGTATCTGCCCAAGGAAAGAAACAAAGACTGGTTGGAAAAATTCATGCATTGTAGGAAGTGAACCTCTGACTTGTGTTTTGCAAACATGCAATTAATACTGTTTTGTGGTAAACTCAATGATGAAGGTTGAAACATAATGCAATTATAGTGTTGTAGTTTTATTGTCTGGTATTAGGGCTCTTGAGGAGCTTGGCTGGTTCGATGTTGCCAAACTCCCCATGCTATTTCTTAAAATTTTTTTTTTCGACTTTGAGAGCTTTGGAGTGATTAAATAAATTTTTTTGAATTAGTGATAGACTTTCAAATGTTTATAGGTATTCCAAGATAGTATTTAGTAGATGTGCTTGTATGTAGAGCAATTCAAAATAATGGACTTCAGATTATGTCATTGATCATATTTGTATCATCTCTTCTATGCAGTCTTGAGAAAATGAAATAATCATGCCTGCTGTGTCATCCACCAACATGTGCTTGTAGATTTAGACTACAGATTTGACTTGTATCACGTGACAACAAATGCATATTGAGTAGTTATAACATTGAGTTCCTCCACATTGATTGATTTATATAATAAAGTGCATTGCAAAAATATACGGTCACCCCAATTTTTTTAAATGCCACATTCAAAAATGATTAAGATCTATCTATTGTTAAAATTAGTTATCACAACAATTAATAGTATTATGAATTCAATTATGCTGCCATCTCTATGATTATTAAACTCTAGGTCAGCGATTCCCAACCTGTGGTACGCGTACCCCTAGGGGTACGCGATAGGTTGTTTAGGGGTACAGAAAAAAGTTAGTTATTATGGCAGAAAAAATAATATATTATGTATCACAAACTAATAGTATTAAAAAATTATTAGATAAATAATGTTCCTTGCAACAATCACAACTTTATTATACATTTTTTCTTTTAGTTTTTTTTTCTTTAATTTAAAGTTACAATATGTAAAATTAACAATACGGTTACTCACTAAATTTCTTAAATGAGGGGTACAATCTAGAGATATGACATGTCACGGGGTACGCTAATGAAAAAAGGTTGGGAACCACTGCTCTAGGTGATAGTGAACTTTTTAATGAATCACTCAAAAATATTTTTGCAACACTATTTTTGATTGTAAATAGAATAAGTAATTCTATTACATCAACATTTATTCCTGTCACTAATTTTTTGTTTAACTGTAATAAAAATTTATTATTTCAAAAAATTGGAGTCACCTTATATTTTTGCAAAACAACTTATATAATTTGATGTATACTACACATTCATATGAAACTTAATTACTGATAAGGAAGGTTACCCAAACTGTACTCATCGATCTTGATGAAAATTTAGTCAAAATAAGTATTAGCCTAACCAAAAGATGATTTTTTTGTGAAAAAATTAACTGATAATAAGCACGCATTCACAAAATACTATTGCTGCAGGCCATCAAAGGACTCCATTATAGACTGTGCTGCGTATAGCTGTTGTTTATTGGTGAAGTCTGTCGACCTTAGATTTTGTCTGCAAATGATGATTAAAGCCATTAATTTTGATATTTTAAATATAAGAAAGATATACAAAGAATTTGATGCCAATAACAACTCAGGAAATGAACCAAAAAGTTGGATTTTGAGAAAGTAAAAAATCACAGTTGTTTTTGATAACAAGATTAGCCTAGTTTACAGCCTAATAATATATACACACATGGGTGCCAGTTGTTATGAAACTCAAACCGAACAGAGGTTAGAGTTGGGTGATACAGAACCATAAAGACAGAATAAATCAATTACATTGATACAGATGTAGACAAAGACAAAAATGATTAAGATTAACAATACAATATTGCTAAATCACTAAAAGCTTCTTCAATAAAAGAAGTTAGAAATATATATTGGAAACATTCAGTAGAATTTTGATAATGTGGTCTTTGAAATTTACAACTGTCCAGAGTCTAAGGATTTATACAGAAATGTGAACAACTTCTTCAATGATAAAAACAATTAAGGTTTCAAAAACAAGAAATGGAAAACTGGAGCACGTTAAATCATCAAAATCTAATTCTTCATGATGTCAATTTGAAGAGATGGAAAAAGTGAAGAGAGATTTCTTTGGAAAACTTCAAAGTTTTGAAAAACGGTTATAGAAATTCAAATTGTTTTATGAAAGAAACCAGTCTGTCATCCTAGCATATAGCAGCGAAAGCAAGATTTTACTGCACTTTTCCTAGCATCATGTGCAGATGATTTTGAGCTCACAGCTCAAAATATGCTTTTTAATAGTAGTCAGAGTGGGTTCACCTTCAAATTACATTGTGGCCAAACTCTTTGGTCTAAGGGATTTGTTGTGTTGAAGGCACAGTTTGATCGATTGGATTGATGACACTTTCTTGCATAATATATCAATAACTCAGTCGCTGTTAACAGGGAATTCACTGGTGTTTATCATTTTATGAGAAAACTGCAACTGTTTTGGACCAGGAGAGCTCAAAATTTGTTCCAAGCATTCAAACTGTGACATTGAGAAAATTAACAAAAAATCATAGAAAAATTTCTTCAAGTTTTTAAACCTTCTATTTCAGACAAAAATTTGTTAGAGCACACATTTAACTTATATTGTTATCCATAAATTCATTGACAACTTATTTTGGAGGCAAACATTTCTTCTAAAAAACAACTTCAATTGACCTTTTTGATGTTTTCTTCAGAAGGTGAAAAAATTTTGTTGTAAAATTTTCTGACAGTTCTGGTTGATGGAATAGACATCATCTTACACCAATGAAATAATCTTACAAACTAGAGATTGCAATTTTATATCTTGATGATAAAAATTGATTACAAAGAATTCATCAAATTTGCATGGATGAAAACAGTATCTTAATGGAAAACCATCTCACATACAAAACTTCTGTCAAATTTGCATTTTCTTTCAAGAGAAAAAGACTGTTTTGGAGATGTGTTTATGATCCATTCATGATGTGAACATCCTTTATGCTTTAGTCCATTTTTATATTGAAAATCATTATTGTACCAACTTTTTTAAATGAAAAAATAAACAAAGCATTATTAGCAATTAATTTTTTCATGTAAAAACTTTTAGTCAGTGCTTATTATGACCTAAATTTTTTGTCCAAATCAGTGAGAACACTATTACTTTCAAGATTACACAATCATTGAAATTTTTAAATTCTCCTGTTATATATTTATATACATTTTATTGATTTGCATTTTTATATTAAAGTAAAATAACAATCAGCACATTTAAATTATTATTTGAAAATTTTATGGTATACTGTGGCACACTGAACCATTAGACAGTAATAGATTAATTGGATGTATCACTGAGTAATATAGCTTATTCTTTTTATCTGGTCTTAGTTTCTTTCTTTAGGTGAATGTATAATTTATAAATTAGTTTAACATTTTGGGTGTTGTTTATTAATTACGTCATGTAGAAGTAGCATTGAAACATCATCAATTCATCATTAAAGATATATATGTTGTCACGATGAGTATATACATATACTAATTGTGTTTCATTTCATAGAGTGCATTGTGCATTGGATGGTCTTACGAACAATGGCGGATGACATAAAACTTAAATTTTAAGTGATGGAAGCACTGTATGAAAGAAAATGCAAAAAACAATAAAATGTAATTATTTAAGTGCACCAGATTCCACTTTTCTCCCCCTTTTTTATAATTAAAGAAAATTATAAAAGAAAAAAGCAATTAGAATTTTTACCAATCTCATTGTTTTCTTAAAGGTCTTAAGCAGTCCACGCATAAGATTAGAATACGAGCTACGAGAAGCCGGTCTGATTCGTTCCGATTACGCCAGACAAATTCTTCAAATCGTAAAACCGTCGCAGGAACCCCGACGTGATACGGTCTCTTCCGTTTTTCAGTACGAACAATTGGTAGATGACTGAATTAAGAATTTTAATATTAATAGTAATTTTTATGAAATTCAAAAAATGTTTATATTACAAAATATTCTGTAGAAGCTTTTAAATATAGCTTAAAATGTTTGATGTTAAAAATGTTCAAGAATTTTTAGAAGTTAAGAATTATATATATATATTATATTATCTACAAGTATATAATTAACAAATATTTAAATACATTGGCCTCTTAACATGTGAGAAAGGATTTACTTGGCACCTTTTCATAATTCTCAAATATCTGTTTTAAAAAAATAATATATTTCTAGAATTTTTAGCTAAATTAATAGAAATAAAAATAAAAATAGTTTTAAACATTTTTGCCATGGAATTCTTTAAAAGAAAACTTTTTAATAACTAAATTTACCTTTATGTTTCTGTGCTTTTTTAATCTTTCGTGCAAAGGTGGCCTTTCTTGCTGGTCCGTCAGGGTTTGGGTCAAATCGTCCACAAAAATTTCTAAAGATTAGACCCAGACTCAAAAGTGGTCTCTTGCCACCTTGGAACATTTCTATACTACAAAAGATTCTTACAGAATTTTAAAGTATTTGTTTTTAATGTTTATTTTGTTATAATTTGATAGTTAAGCGACAATCGTGTCGCTTAGCTATCATTCTTTTATTTATATTATTCCATAACGTTTAGGGTCTAATTAGCTAACTTCTAGTTGTTTGATTCTGTTTGAGCGAGTAAACATTTACTCAGAATTGNTAAACGGGTTTACATCTTACACATTTACTAATATCCAATTGATCGAATTAATTTTTACGGATTCGTAAAATAAGCCCGTGCAATTTTCTTGCCTGTTTTTGTTTTTAATTAAATACACTAATGCACAAATAACTTTCAAAATTTTATATAGAAGTATGCTTACTACATATTTTTTTTGTTTTGATAAAAAGTATTAACAATTATTAAAGGCAAACAAATTCATTTATAATACTATAATATTTCATATTAACTTAGTCGTCCTTGTAAGTATATACTGGAATGATTTTAAGTTTGATAAAAAATAATAATAATGGCATGGATCTTAAACAAGATAATTAAATAAGACTGTTATGAAAGCTTTCCCCCTATAACAATATATGAATTTTTTTTTAACAAAATCAGTCTGTCCAAACTGAATTAGGAAAATGTTTGAGCAGTCCTCTTAATTTTGAAAGTTTTTAATGTATTTTTATATAAATATCTAATTTTTAAAATTAAAAAATATTGTCTCTAAGAATGATTTTTTTTTGTTCGGATTTGCAATACTACTATGAGTATTTAATGTAATTAATTGCAATATTTTAAAATAATTTTAAAAATTTTAATCAAATTATCACAAATTATTAAATTAAAAATATTCTACATTTATGTAATTTGCTATATAATTTCAGTATTGATGCTGCGATCATACATTATTATTATTTTTTTAACATAATGTGATAGATATTCATATAAAAATACAAAAACTAAATTTAAAAAAACCCAATAAACCTTGCAGAATTTAACAGAACGATTCAAAAACTGCCGGTCATTAAATTATTCTATCACAAAAAACCTCTTTCCTATTTTACAGAATCACATAAGTGAAATTTCTCAACAGAAAAAACATTTACAATATATAGATACTAAGTACAGAAAGGAACATCTGTTTATAACAATGTGGAATGTTTTTTTTAATGATTTAATACACTTGTGATATGAGTTCAACAAGAAAAAAAATGGCTTTTTTAAAAAAAAGCCTCGTGTAGAAGGCACCTAGAAAAAAGAAAAGCCATTTCCTCGAAATGCAGATCGGCAACAAACAACCTGAGACAAGTCGACCCGTCTTTACCTGCGTCCGCGTGCACGAGGGTTGTAACAAACTGCAGATTTGGAATGTTAATGTTTCGTTTGGGATGTCCCTGTTGCGAGAACGTGGTTGTGGAACATTTGGATTTCCCTTCGACGCACTTCCGCCTCTTGTCGTAATTACAAAGTCGTGCACTCTCTCTCGCATCCCACTTTAATTTTGAATGTTTTTGACATAAAAAATCTTTCATTCTACGATGCTTGCCATTTGAACCTTCCTTGCATTATCCATTTCTGGGCTATACTGTTACTATTGCATTCCTTGAGCACCGGCAAAGACATGTCCTTCTCTTGCGGTTTACTTAAACACAGACCGGTGTTTACATGTTTGATTATTTGATCCTGAAAGAGAAATGTTATTTAGAAACATGATTAAATTCTTGTACTGATCCAAATTAAAAGAACTGAAATATGTTTGTGCAATAATTCAAAATTTTCACAAATAGACTTATAAGTAATCTCAAATGATCAAGTGAACAGTGGCGAATAATATCATTATTCACTTGTAATTAACTAATAATAGACAGGTTGTGGCAGAAGTTTTCAATGCGAAAATGTGAATATCGGACGTTTGGTGCCGCTATCCCGTAAGCCTAGAAGTCTGACAATGGCCTTTAGAATGTCAGTGGAAGTTGAAAACATTGGCTGCAACCTCTCTATATTAGTATTGTATAAATATAATATAATATTTATACAATACTAATATAAATATTTATAGAATAATTCTTTCATGTGGCATCGGATATTACTAAAGACTACTTATGAAGGCAGATAAATAAGATATTGCAGATTTTGTGGACCTTGTTAACAATATTTGATCCAGCTGTCTACCTCAGTCACAGAGATTATGCATAGTAGACTAACAAAACTATCATTTGTCAAGAACTGTTGGAGGTGTATGGAAACAGTGTAATGTGCAAGAAACAGGTTTGGTTTTGGTGTAAGGTGTTTGTTACACACGTCTATCCTGCCATTTGCAAAGGGTGAGTTGCATCCCCTGGTGATTGCCACAGATGATGACATGTACTGTGTGGAAGGTTGATTTGGGATAATTGGCAATGCCTCTCAATTTCAAATTGCCCATGAACTCAGTATTGTGCATAATCCCATACAAAATGTCTGTCGGTAACTGAGGTATGGGAAAGTTAGTGCCTGATGGGAACTGAAACACCCAAAAGAGGACATGAAACATCAGCCTTGTTTTACAACACCTATTTGTCCAACAAGTTATGACAGGAAAAACTCTAATCTGTAAGAACATAAGAGAGAAAACAATGCTGCACCTGTGGAGACCAGAATTGTCCATCATCTCTATAAGAAAAATTTTGAGACAACACTCTAACCACAAAAATTGTGGCAATGACTTTTTGGGATTACCTAGATGCCTTGAAGAAGAAATCCACAAGCAGAATATCACAAAGTCTTGAGCTCTATTATGAGATTGTGGACAGACTAAAAGAGACCTTCTGCAGGGAAAGACCTGGTTGCTGTAACAAGAAGTCATTCAGTTGCATTCAATGAAAAATTCCATACAAAATTTCACCCATTGCCATATTGAGGATTTACACTGAGGCAGAAAACATCTTGAACATACACAATAAGACAGAGAAGATAAATATAGAGATGTGATATAGTACACATAGTGTAAGATTTTAAGGAAGACAATCAAAAACTCTTGTTTTTGAATGGTATATCATAATCAAAGGCTTTTCTAAACATTTACAACATTTTTGTAGCAGTAATTCTGTTGCAAAAACAAAATTTAATGCATGTTCTCTCAATTATACTTGACATTTTGAAAAATCACTGGCACAAAAATTCTTTACACTTCAACTGTGCACAATTTTCACATCAGTGAAAATGGGTCTAAAACTGAATTTTGGCTTGTTTAGCTGTCATACCAGGTGCACCCTACTGTCATTTCTATTTTGTGTCTTGTACCTTGTCAATAAATGCATTGCAGGTGCCATGGGCTCATAACTTTAACCCCCCCCACTCTGACCCACTTTCACCTCCTATTCTTCACCTTACTTCTTATTTCATTAGAGAGGTTGCGGCCAAAGTTTACATCTTTAAAATGTGAACGTCAAACATCGAGTGCCGCTATCTTGTAAGCAGCGCTCGATGTTCACGTTTTAAAGATGAGAACTTTGGCCGCAACTTCTGTTATCTTTCTCCCCCCAACCTCAGGTCGTACCTTTGAGTGATACCTGGAGTTTTCCTTCTTTCTAAAAATACCTGTTTGGAATTGAAAATATGTATCTTTTTATTCTTAGATCTTCTAAAAATATTTCATTGTACAAAAATTACAAAATGTTTGAGGAGCCAGAAAATATAAGTTTAAATACTCTCAAGAGAAAATTAAACAGTTTAAAGGAAATTTTGTGTTTGCTTTTATGTAATACTAGCAGACCCGCCACGTGTTATTGTGTCTCAAAATGTATCTATTATAAATTTATAACACTTCCCCATGGAGGGGATTTTTCGAAAAATTTCTTCTTAGTGTACATTCTCTTGATGTACCCTATTAAAACGCAATCAAAAACACAAAAAACCACATCTAAAATAGTATAAATAGAAGCAGAGTTCTTTACGGTAAGCCTTAATCCTAATCATCTCCCTTCAGTGGGAGGGGGGAAATTTCGGCACGTATATTATATAAAAACACGTGCGTATTCGAATGCAGCATCGTGTTAAAATTTCAAAGGAATCGGTAGGAACAAACAAACATTACATTTTTATTTATATAATTAGATAGAAGATGATCTGCTTTAGTTCATTTTCACAGAAAAGCAAACTTAGGGCGTTGTATTCGTAGCGCCATCTGTTGGACATAAAAGCCTTAACCTAGATTATATCTTTTAATTTAATTTATATGAATGTTTAACGGAATAATATACAGCCTATGTCCACCCTGAAGTTCCATTCTAAATATTGGTGAAAGAATTTTTGAAATCGGATGAGTAGTTTCGGAGATTACCTGCTGCATACAAACTTACATACATACTTACAAACATTACCTCTTTATAATATTAGTATAGATAATAGATAAACTTTGACTTATCTGTATATAAATTCCTATGATCTCTTCAAAGCTATGATGTCCATCCTATAAAGCACTCATAGTATCTCAGCAAGTGTAAGGTACATAAGGGTGATACAAAGAAAAGTAACTAACCTGCTAGCTATATACAGGTAGCCCTCGGTTTACGCTGATTCACAATAACGCCACTACGCGGTGTAATTTCACAATTTTCCCTATGCCAGACTGATTTTCATTTCAGTGTTGACTTATTTACTGAGCCGCGACATTGTACATTTGTTAAAACAAAGATTTTTATTGAATATATTTATTTTTTCTGTTTAATATTATTGCATTAAATTAATATTAAAACACTAAATGTTTAGATACCCAAGAGTCAAGTTATCAAACTTAATAGTCCAATAAATGGCATCCGAATCCATAGCACCAATGAATGTATCCCGTATCACTTTGTTTAGGAATACACCTTACGACGCAGTAGCACTTATGGCGATCACAAATTATCGTTAGAGAGACAAATCTACTTCTCGTTGGCCAGATGATACTTTTTATTAGCCAGACTATATCTATCTCTCCTTAGCCACCTTCAATTTTCCCGCTCAAACTGACCTTATACATGCGTTATGGTGACCGGTGATCGACCAATCAGTGTCTCCACTCGTCCATAGCTCTACGTCGGGTTAACGTATCCTTTCAACTATGGAAAGTTTGACGGATGAACTTTGTGAGTTAGACAATGATTGGGAGTGAAGTGCAAATGTAAAAAGAAGTATCATCGCATCCATTCAACCATATTCCAAAATTCTCAATGAAAAAAACAAAAATGTAAACAATTAAAGATTTTTTAGAACAAATTATCCAAGAGATCCAAACCTAAAATTTTAAAATAAAAGCATTTCACTTTATTTTATGATAAAATACGTTTTAAAAATTATAAATTTATATGTATATTTGTATTAAGTGAAAAATAAGCAAATAATTTTGTTTATTATGTAGAAACTAACCCTGTACCTCACTGTAAATATGGGTTCATTTTACGTCAATTTGATTTGCGCCGGCTTTTGTAGGAACGGAACTGCGGCGTAAACTGAGGGCTACCTGTATCTGTAAACATTACTTCTTAATCTCCATAATAAATGACTTAAACAATGTGCTTTTGTCATTACTAATAGACATTAAACAAAACATGCTCAGCAAATAATAAAAGGTGTGTTATGATAATGTTGCTGAGATAGTTTTATTGAGAACTAATGTTTTCAGCCTATAGAATACATATATTCAAATTCACATGATTTGAATATATGTATTCTATTGATGAAGCAGTGTCTAAGTAGTTATCATCAGACATAACACAGGTCTGCAAGTAAAAAACTGCATAGGATTTTTATACATTTTCTTATAGATTTCAACTTGGTATTTTTTTTTTTACCATCTCGTAAATTTTTTTTGTTACACTCAAGTTTTTGTTTGTATTTAGCGTAAAATTCCTAGTTAACTTAAAATTTAGTATTCTCTTTTTTATTTAAAAAATGGCCTTAAAACGAAGACTTCTCACATTAATTCTATGAATTATTGCTGGACTTTGTAATAAATAAATAAAAATGTTAGTGGTTGAAGAGAATAGTGGTAGGAGGAGGTAGGTTAAGTAGTTTTAGCATTAGGAGGAAGGTTGCATGATTGTATAGAAACAGGTTAAAAGTTGATAGTGAGTAATATTATTGGTGAGGTTGAGCATGTTTCAACATGTTATCTGGGATACTAGGAATAAATATAAACAAACTACTGTTGGATTAGATCATGTTTCAACAAGCTAAATAAGTTCAGTATCTCGCTGGCCATCTAATGCCACACTCAGTTTATATCCAGCATTCGAACGCTACTGTGCTTGTATTTTTATTTCTGAAATATGGCTCGCAGAGGTTGTGTAATTTCTCCCGACAGCTTCTGTTATGTTTGTGGTGAATACACCGTGAAAAGTCAACAAAGAAATATAAGTGTGTTTGTGAAGAAAGTTTAATTTGCATATTTCAAATTTCAAAGACAAAGCATATTTTTGTCTTTGAATATTTCAAATTTCAATATTTCAAATTTCAAAGACAAAGCATATTTTTGGAAACAATGGGAGAAAAGGAAAAAGAAGCATGGGACTCTCTCAAGAATGTAGTGCATAAGTTTTTGGGGAATACTAAGGACCCTGACTATAAAACCATTGTACAATGCATGCTGGCAGCAGCGTAGGAAACTCAAGGATGCAAGATGAGTTTAAAAGTTCATTTCTTACACTCCCATATATTTTCCC